TGTACTCTGCCCTGTAGGGTCACTATGAGTCAGAATTGCCTTGATGGCAGTGAATGAGAAAATTAAGAGTAATGGGGAAGGGAGAGATTTTCTTACAAATTGGATGAAAGAGTTGGTCAATAGTAGATGTTCCCTAAGGAGTGCATTTTAGTCAGAAAGAACATGACCCCGTGGGGAACAAGCAGGATTAACGAGCAAAGGAATTAGCAGCCACTTGAAACAATGAGGAAAGCTTATGGTTTGGGAGCAGCGAACTAAAATTCCTAGTAACTCAAAAGGAAGAAAATCAAACAAGGCCACGAGAGCCATACTATGGCCTTGAAGATATCCCACCTGAGTTTCAAGGCCATCCCAAGAACAAACTGGATGCATTAGATACTCATGACAGAAGACCTGATGAGCCATGGGATGACATCAAGAACATCATACATGAAGACAGCAAAGGGCCCTTACAAAGACAGGGAAGAAAGAAAAGACCAAAGTGGATGTCAGAGGAGACTCTGAAACCTGCTCTTGAGCGTAGAAGAGCAAAGGCAAATGTACACATAAAAGAAACCCACTACCATCCAGTTGATTCCAACTTCTCATGACCCTATAGGACACAGAATTGCTCCACAGGGTTTCTGAGGCTGTAAATCTTTACAGAAGCAATTTGCCTTGTCTTTCTCCCTCAGAGTGACTGGTAGGTTTGAGTCACCAGCCTTGTGGTTAGCAGCCCAATGCTTAGCCCACGGTGCCACCAGGGCTCCCTGTAGGCACTCAGAGACAAGGAATGAAAAAGACAGACCATCCGGTTTTGACAAAGGGAGAGAGAAACGGACCCCTGTAATAAGCAAAGAGCCCCCAAAGAGATCCATATGTATAGGAGAAATTGAATTACGACAACACTGGCTGTGGATTGAAATGATAGATTTTTCAATAAGTGTTGTGGCAAGGTTGGTTATCCACAGGGGAAATTTTTAAAACTGGACATCTATCTCCTACTATGAATAGATAGCTTTCAAGTATATTAAATGTGTTACGTACAAAAGGCAAAGTTGTCATCTTCTTAGAGTTTATATCCTGATGACCTACTGAACTCTTAAGTCAATCACCAAAAGTATAAACCCTTTAGTGGAAAACAAACTGATAACTAGCACTATTGAAATGAATGCTGACCTTACGGTGGGCAACCCAATGCTTCACCACCACGCCAGCAGGGCTCCGAAGAAGGTGGGAAAGGAAGCCTAAAAACAGGGCCCAGGTGTTTGTGCTCGCATCATATGCAATTGGCCGTTACATAGAGCACAGGAGATGAACAAAAGAGTGAAGCAGCCCAACAGAAAGCTACTCAAACCCTAGGACGGCACTAGAGAGGCAAGAGACAAAAGGCATCCGCTGGACCAAAGAAAAGGATGTGGTTGTCAAGGAGATAGTGCGACTGCTGTGAGCCATCTGATTACTTCCTCCCAATCAGTGCTAATGAGGATGCCTCACAGCTGAACTTCGTCATACTCATTCCACTTGAAAACAGCTGGGTGTTAGAAGACAGCATGTGGCCAGCAACCTTTGCCCTGGGTTATGAGCCCAGTCCCTGTGTGTGCATCAGGAGGTATGCTCAAGAATCTTGAAAGCCGCACCATTTCCAGTAGCAAAAACCAAAAGAGCAATTAAGATAACCGCCAGTAAATAGATGTAGTACCATTGTGTGTTCTGTTGCTCAAGCAGCATGCTCTGCTTTTATATCTAATATTCATCGCGATGGCCACACCAAACTCACATGATTACAGGGTTTATGAAGGAAATGAGTGGGCTTTCCACTCCCATAAACAATTGCAGTCTCAGAAACTCGGGGTTTGCTATGAGTTGGCATTGACTTAATGGCAGTGAGGGAGAAACACGCAGGATACAGTTGTTCATCTGAACATATCACAAAGTTCTTTCAGGACTGCTAATACATGTCCAAAGGGCATGCTACTCCTCTGTAAGCCTCAAACCAAAGACATTCAATCCAAGCTCTGTGGGGGTCATAGCTTTATTCAACTGAAGCAAGACAGAAGGACTGTCACAACACCCATGGGACTGCCCACCGGGTATATATATCTATGCTCGTCACACCACACAGGCCTCCAGCCAAATATTTCCCTCAAGCTTACATAGATGATTGCATAGTATGGTCATTACACATGCACAATACCAGGAAATTGTTCCTGTAGTCCTTTTCCAGAGGAAGCTTGTCACTACATATATGTCCGTTGCTACACTGTCTTAAACAGGTTCTGTCTGTGCCTTCGAAGTCCCCATGTACATCTTTTACTAACTTTACACCAAGTGTTTCATGTTTCTGAAGCTACTGTAGATCAAGTTTTTGCTTTTATTTTCAGTGGTACATCGCTAGTATGTGGAAATGCAATTGATTTGGGTCTGTTAATCTTGTATTCTGCCACCTCCTCAAACCAAAGCCAAACTCACGGCCATCAAATTGATTGCAACTCATAGCGACCTTGTAGAACAGAGTAGAACTTCCCCTGTGGTGTCTGAGGCTGTGGATCTTTTTTTATATAGTTTTATTGACATATCATTCACATTCCTTGAGGCTATAAAACTTTACAGAAGCAGAAAGCCTCCTCTTTCTCCGATAGAGCAACTGATGATTCCTGCTCATGGGGGGAACTGCGTAGTCTTTCACCATTGAGTGTGATGCTAACTGGAGTTTGTGTACAGACGCTTCACCATTGAGTGTGATGTTAACTGGAGTTTGTGTACAGATGCGCACCCTTCATCAGGTGCAGGAAGTTTCCACCCATCTCCAGCTCGCTGAGAGTCTTCCTCATTAGTGGGTGTTGGGTTTTGTCAAATATTTTTCTGAATCAATTCATATCATGTGGTTTTTCCTCTCTAGATTTGAAATTTGGTGGATTATATTGATTTTTCAGGTTTTCATAGGTAACAAGTTTTGCAAAAATGCACCCAATAGGATTTAAGAAAACAAACATTCAAAAACACTGAAAACGAGCTGTATTGTTTGATTATGTCAAGTCGATTTTGACTCATAGTGACCCCATGGGACTTGGCAGAACTGCCTCGTAGCTGTGATCTCTCTTTCTTTTTAACTTTTTATTGTGATTTGAGTGAAGGCCTACAGAGCAGATACCAGTTTGCAGTCAGCAATGCATATCCATTTGTTTCTCATCCTTGATTTGAAATCCCCACAAATGTAAAGTCACACGTCCCTTTTCCCCTCAGTGGTTCTCCTTTCCATTCCTCCTCCTTTCCCAACCCTGCTGAGTCTTGTCCTTGGGGAAAGGCTGCCCTTTCGATATCAAATGGTTGCTTTTTCGAAGGTGTCCCTCCTTCCCTAGTGTTGCTGTTCCCCTTGTAGACCTGTCAATTGTTTGGCTGAAAACCAAGACCTGGGGGTGTGAGTTCAGTTCTAGGTCTGGAGGATGTTGAAGGTCCATAGTGTCAGGGGCTCCCCCATCCCTCTTTGACTAGTGAACCTGGTCTTCTGTGATGATTTTGAGTATGGCTCTACATTTTTCTCCTGCTCTATTCAGGACCGTCTAAGGCAAGTTGGTGGTAGTAGCTGGACATCATCTCGTTCTTCTCTATTCAGGACCTTCTCTGAGCAAGTTGGTGGTAGTAGCTGGTCCTAGCTGGACATCATCTTGTTCTTCTGGTCTCGGGTCATGGAGACTGAGATTCCTGTGGTCCATTTGTCCATGGGACCAAATGTGTCTGTGTGTCTTTGGTTTCCATCACTCTCTCCATCATCCTCCTTTCCTTGCCACTTTGGATGGCTGCCCATGATAAACCATACTCTTTATAGAAGAAGATCACTAGGCCTTTGTCGAGCGAGTTGAAACTGCCCACCTTCTGGTTAGTAGCCCAGCCGTTCACCATCGTGCCATGCCTCTTTACTCTAGCTCCTAACGATGCAGTACGTGGTAGGACTGTAGCATAGCAGGCCCCTCTGATGGAATCCCCAGGACGGTCCTGGTGAGTCTTCTCAGGTCTCACCTTCCCCCTTTCCCGGCAGCGATCACCTGTTTTCCTGGGTTGTGCCTCTGACGTAGCAGAGGAACCATAAGTGACAGAAACATATACGTCGGCTCTGAAAGGGAAAAGAGAAGATCTGGGAAAACCCACAATAGTACCCACCCCACCCCAAGGGATTCCACCACAGTGGCCTCCCAGGGATTCCACCACTGTCATCCAGTTGTTTCTGACTCATAATGCCTGACTACAGTTGCTGAAACTGAATCTTTTTCTTTCTTTCTTTTTTTTTAATCATTTTATTGGGGCTCATACAACTCGTATCACAATCCTTACATC